GGTTAGTAACATGAGAGAATTACTAAAGGTGAAATAATGGGAATACCAGAAGAAGAAAGAAAGGAACAAAAGAAATATTTGAAGTAATAAGGGCCGAGAATTTTCTGAAATGAATGACAGACACTAAACCGCAGATCCAGGGAGCTCAACAAATAACATAAGATAAATATCAAAATTTACACCTGGGCATATTATATCAAACTGCAGAAAATCAAAGATAAAGGGAAACTCTTAAAAGAAGCCAAGGAGGGGGGATCCCTTACCTACAGAGAAACAAAGATAGTATTACATTGGATTTCTCTTCAGAAACCATGTAAACAAGAAGAGAATAGCATAAAATATTTAAAGGGTTTTTTTTGTGGGGGGGGGGGGGGGGGGGGGGAGAAGGCACCAACCTTCTGTATCCAGTGTAATTATCCCTCAAAAGAGAAAGAGAAATAAAGAATTTCTTAGACAGCCCTAGTTGGATGGCTCAGTTGGTTAGAGCATCTTCCCATACACCAAAAAGGTTGTGGGATCGATTCCCAGTCAGGGCACATACCTAGGTTGTGAGTTCAATCCCTGGTCGGGGTGTATATGGGAGGCAACTAATGAATGTTTCTCTCCCTCTAAAAAATCAATAAAGCCCAGCTGGTATGGCTCAGTAGTTGAACATCAACCTATGAACCAGGAGGTCACAGTTCAATTCCCGGTCAAGGCACATGCCTAGGTTGTAGACTTGATCCCCTGTGTAGGGTGTGCAGGAAGCAGCCGATCAATGATTCTCTCTCATCATTGATGTTTCTATCTCTCTCTCCCTCTGCCTTCCTCTCTGAAATCAATAAAAATATATTTTTTTTAAAAAAGGAAAAAACATTAGAGAAGGAATAAATCAAGATTAAAAAAAGATGCTATGAGAAGTAAGGCATCAAAGATGGAACATATTTATGTTGCACTAAAGTGGAAAAAGCAAATGAAGTTTCACATGAAATCAATGTTGTATTGTTTTGTCCTTTCACTTTAAAAGTTGAGATAGGCACATTGATACACAAAGATCTATTATATAATGTTATATGCCATCTCTGCTTCTAAGTGGTAAGGGTACACACAGATGGGAAGAATAGTGAGTCCTACCTTTCAGGACTCACAGCCTAATGGAGATAAGAGACACAACTAAAGTAGCTTCAGAATCACCTCCTGAAACAATGGCTTAAGGCAGTAAATAAACCTAGAAGTAAAAAGTTGCCTTGAACAAGAACCAGATCACAGGTTTTCAACCCAGGGCATTGTGTCAAGCACTGAACCTACTCCTCTACTGGTCATGCTCACACTACCCACCACAAAAACTGCAAATGTCTGATACATATGCCAGCTAGGGTATAACAGCGAGGTCAGCTGGAAGAGCTTTAGCATCAAGAATAGTCTGGTCCTATGCTGGGGGGGAATGGGTACGAGAATATTGACTGTGAACTCATTTAATCCTCATCAGCCATGTGCGGTGGATATTATCAACCCCATTTTACAAACTAGAAAATGAAGCTGACAGAGGTAATAACCTGCCAAGGAACTCAGCAAGCAGCAGAGGCTGAGTATGAACATAATAAGTATTCCCGTTCCCCAAGTCCCTGTTCTTTCCTCTATGCCACACTAGATTAAAAGCAGTACTAAAACTATCAGGCATCACATTTCTGGAGCCATCTAAGAAGAAAAATCAATTATGAAAGAGACCGCTGAAATCTACAGGTGTGCACAACTTTAATTGTGGCCATTAATTCTGACATGGACCATCACCAAGCACTGCACAAGTCGCTGCCTAGGTGTGCACCAGGCTGCTTCATATGAATACTTATGTCCATACTCAGCCTCTGCTGCTTGCTGAGTTCCTTGGCAGGTTATTACCTCTGTCGGCTTCATTTCCTAGTTTGTAAAATGGGGTTGATAATGTCCACCGTACATGGCTGATGAGGATTAAATGAGTTCATACATGTAAGTTGTCTCGCATGTGCGTGATCAGCACACAGTCTTCTCTCCTTCCTCTCCCTTCTGTGGGGCTCTCACAAGACAGGCCAGCAGAGGAGGTAGCCTAGAGAGTGCTGGGGGACGACGAGTGAAGAGTAACACAGGACGGACTGAGGTAGAGTCCCATATCAAGGGGGCAGATCACAAACTGAACAAAACAGAAATTTAGATATGGCCTTTAAAAACTGTTTTAACTGAAGTGTACACTTAAAAACAGCAGGTTGTATGTTATGTGTTATGAACAACAATTAAAAAATAACAAAAACAGAAAAAACATTTCAGTTCTGTACCTGGCTGCGCTGGATCCTCAGTTCCTTTATTTTAAGCTTCCTTCGATCTTCCAAAGAGAACTCCACTATTGGTCTCTGTGTCAGAAGGAGACAGAATGTCATTCATTCGATTTCTTAATCTCTGAGTGCAATGAGCTGAGTTGTCTCCCACCATTGCCCTCTTTTCTGCAAGTCAGAGGTGGCTGCTCACTAAACTCTACTTACAGGTAAGGGGCCGTAGTGTAAGTAGTCTACACAATTTAGAGTTCCTGCCAATCATCTTATTACCTGAATCACTGCTCATTGCCTCCATCGACTTGCTACTCTTTCCCATCACTCAAATGTCTGAGAGCGCACTGGACACAAAGGAGAGGAATGGTTTTCTGCAAAAGGTCCTCAGGGGAACAGCTCTCCCCACAGGATGAGGCTCACCTTCTGAGGCCCATAGATTTCTGGGTTGTTGTTGATGTGGCGTAGGGCAGTCAGGGCATGCTCGTGCTCCTGGAACTCTGCAAAGGCGTAGCCCAGGGACTGACCCTTAGTTTTCCCATAAACTCCTTTGAGGTCTCGCATCACCTTACACTATGAGTAGAACAAGAAAAAGAATCAGTAATTACAGGAGGAGGGCCTTAACAGATTCAATTCTTGGGACAGATTCTTCAGCTAGATCACCACCACAAGAGTTGTACTGAAATAACACTGTGACTGTCTGTTTTATTAGAATACAGCTACTGAGAGCACAAAGCAAATTAAATAGGTATTTTCATGCTTCCTAGGGGTTTACAGACATCGACACTGACCTACAAATAAGCATGCATATAAAATCAACTCTCCAAGAAAAAATTATAATAACTAACTACTAACAATACATACAAGTTGAGAGGTCCATGGTACCTGAAGTTGTATATTAAGTTATCACTGAGGATAAAATGTAGTGCTAGAGCTCATCATTGTAGAAACCACTCAGAAATTACTGCCCTGGCCGGTTTGGCTCAGTGGATAGAGCGTCAGCCTGCGGACTGAAGGGTCCAGGGTTCGATTCCGGTCAAGGGCATATGCCAGGGTTGCGGATTTGATCCCCAGTGGGGGGGCGTGCAGGAGGCAGCCGATCAATGATTATCATCATTGATGTTTCTATCTCTCTCTCTCCCTCCCTTCCTCTCTGAAATCAATAAAAATATATTTTAAAAAAAGAAAAGAAATTACTAAAGAAGGGAAGGAAGAAAGCCTGATGGCTTTAGATAAGGCATTTCAGGCATGGGGAGAAGCCTGTACCACATGCAGTCTCAGAAATACAAAAAGAAGCTTCAGCAGTCTTTGCTGGGCACTCAGATCCTCCCTGATGTGGCCTTTCCCTAAATCCTTAAGCTGAATGTAATAGGCATCCTGGGGCACTGAGGTACACCAAGGAATCTTGGGAAAACTGATCATTCACATTCTATTACTCGTAGAAGCTTGGCATTAGGTCTAGGCATTAGGACCACTTGGATGCTCATTTGGTGTATGTCCAGTATCTACTCTGTGCCATGCACTATAGGGAAATCAAGAAAAGCATAGAATGAGGTTCCTGTCCTCAAGAAGCTTACTCTCTTGCTGAGACACTATACTCACACATATGAAAGAATTAAAGAGAAAAACTCAATACAATGCAGATATTGTAAAACACGTAAGTTTCTCTAAATGACAGGTTTTAAATGTGCAGACACTTAAGTGTTGTGGATGTTGATATGAGGAATTACACAACTGACCCCTATACCAGTAACACTTTGAACAGTTTTACCAAGAGTGGCATGTTCACATTCTCTCATGTCATTCCCCAAATACCAATACCATACATTTTGGTGAGGCTCTCAGGGATTAGGAAAAGTTATGGGGATGAAACAGAGCACAGAAGATTCATAACACTGGCTATGTTACTTTTTCAGGAAATACTGATGGATAGATTACTATGTGCCGGGTGCTATGCCAAGCATTAGAAACAATGAGATGACACCTGCCCTCAAAGAGCTCAGTTTGGTTGGAGAAATGACTGATAAACAACTGCAGGACAGTGTAATAGTAAGCACTAGGACACAGGGATGCAAGCCGCCATGGGGGAAACGGGAAGCAGAACGGCTTCTGTTCTCCGTGTCTAACCGTGTCAGTGTGAACAGTGTTTGTCTAGCACAGCTGCTGAAGACCTGTGCAGCGCCCTGTGCTCACCACAGGGCACTGAGGACTCTCACCATAGGCTGGGAGCCTAAAGGACAGCAAAATGCTCTTCTAAAGAGCAAAGCACACAGATGATTTTCTCTGCAAGAAAATTAACATTACAGCACCTGGCATAATGCTGAGCACACAGCAGGCATTCAGTAAGTGCTTGCTAAAGTACTTCACTAGGGCAGAGACTTCCTCACATTCTACTGCAATCTGGTCAGATGTGAAAGGCAGTTCTTAGAAAAAAGGCAAAAAAAAAAAAAAGGCATGAAAACTGCCAAAGTCAGCCCTGTCTGCTGACAATGTGTCCAGAAGAAAATGTGTCAATCTGCTAGCACCACAGCCTGAAAATAAATGCTCGATCTGACCCAGGACCAAAGTTCTGAGTGGACAGGGCCAACTCTCACCTCCTTGATGCGCACTCCCTTCTCCCCTCTAGTGGCATTCAGCAGCAACTTTCTGAGCTGTTTGTCATCCACGGCCTTGGGGAGATTGTGCAGGCAGAGCCTGGTGCGGGAGACAAAGATATTCTGGTCCTTCAGTTTCTGATGCTTCAGTAGCTCAAACTGAAAGAACAAAAAACTGTTAACAATCTAACCCACCCTTTAAAAATGCAGGCTCACAGTTCTACAAAAGGAAAGAACCACGACCCCATCCAATAACTATGCACATAGAGAAAAGGAGGGAAATCACCCACCCTGCAGCTGTACGGTCCCAGCACAGGGAAAGAAAGGATCAGGAGGCAAGATGGTGGGCACGTGGGACAGTCATGGATGGCATCAGACTGAATTCGAAATCCAGCCCTAACTGGAGAAGTTACATGAAATTTTTTAAGCCACAATATTTTCACCTACAAAGTGGAACTGTAGATCAAAATACCAGTATAATGTCAATTTCTCAGCAGTGATGCAAGGCCAAAATAGGGAGATATACATAAAATCCTGACCTCAAAACTTGGCCCAGAGTAAATAATAAATAATACTGTAGTTAACATTTATGCCCAGTCCTGATCTACCCACCAACTCAAACTATTAGTCTTTCCAAAAACAATAGAATTTCTTTAAAGAATACTTGAGAGAATGCTGTCTTGTCTCTACTCTGCCACCTTTAGGCAAAGGAATATCCATGACCACAGAAATGAATTCTGCTTCTAGAGCATCAGCCTCTACTGTGCTGCACAAAACACTGACCCAGGGCAGCCTGTCTCAAAGATGAAAGATGACATTCTTCTCCTGATTTGTTTTTTTAATTAGAAAAATTAGCAGAAAAAAGGTTCAAATTACATTTTTTCTTTCATCACGTCTTCTCATTCCTGCTGCTCCTTATTTGGCAAAGGTACTAACAAATCACAAAATAAATGGATGCTCTGGAAATGAACGGTAAAGGGATATTTGAAGAGGCCTAAGTTCAACAGTCTGATTTTTCTTCCAGGAAAAGCTGTGCCTGCTGTGAATTATAATGCATATACTCTATGAGCTTTTTGCTAGAAAAATTCATCTAAGAGAAAATTAAATGTGTCACTATTGCAATGTGATCAGAAAAGGGGATACAATGCCCCTCAAATACCATCATTTCCGGATGCTCACTAACAAAAAAGGTTGAGAACACTAGTCTAGATAGGAAACTACACAAAAGACACACTACCTCTTCCTGTCGTTATATTCTCATCTCTGCCCATCACCTTCTGCACTTTCAGGTTCCACAGCTAATTCTAGGTTGGCTTAGCTCTCTGAAAGTAAGCTATGTGGGCAAAAGTAAAAGCTACTGGGAACTAACATTCCCAAGCAGCAGAGGGATTTAAGGGCATCAGTCAGCAGTAGAAACTCTCATAACATGGAGCTTTCCAAAAATGACTATAATCTGGAGACCTCCTCCTCCTCCACAAAATGGACATCTTAACTATCTCAAGACCCATATCTACCTTCTTCCCTACTGATTCCAGCCTACTTGGAACTTCCTTTCTTATGTTATCCTGCATTTACACTGACACCTAATTATACACAGCCCTAGCCTCAAAGTGTCTACTATGTGATCTCTAAGCATACTATTCAGCAGGCATTAGTGCTGAGCATTAGGAAAATAAGAATAAGATCCAGTTCTTCTAATGGCATATAATGGTGAGCTAATGTTATGATAACTTTGGGTTATTTGCTGTTTCACCTGCGTGCTTTTTTCTCTCTAACAACAGTGTAAGTATGGCCTGTTACCAAAACTTGGCTCTTGAATAAACACCTCTACCATTCAATAATTATTACTTATTGATTTATAGTAAGTCATGCCGAATCGAAGGGTGGTACCTAACCTACTCACCCGTTCTCTTTTGGCCATATCAGCAGCGCTCACACCCTCTGCAGCCTTCGTCCCAGCACGAATCACTGCAGAAAGAGGGAAAAAGGCCAAGACATCAGCAAGGGAATTTTCACTGAGCAACAAGAGGAATGTGATTTGAATGATGCAAGCTCTTTGTACAGGGCCCAGAGGACTTTGCTGGCCAGGACATAGAGGCATTTGGGTAGGGCCAGAAATAGGCTACAGGGCTAACTTTTTAGCTCAGAGCTGCTCTCAAGGACTAATACTTTGAATCAGCGGTTGCCAACCTTTCGGACCTCATGGACCACCAGTGGTCCGCGGACCACCAGTTGGCAGCTGCTGCTCTGAATAGTTTGTAATTTCATTCCTCTTCTCCTTCTCTCCCCTACATGCCCAACACCAGCTGGAAAGGCCTAAAGGAAGTTCTGAAAATAAGGACATTTTAAGCATTTGGATGCAAAACTGCTCCACCTATAGCCTGGCCCTTGGAACTGCACTGCTCATGGACTAGGGGATCGTTACTGAGTGGTGAGATAAGCCAGCCCAGAAAACAGCCAAATCACCACACAGAGGCCTAGTATCGAAGGCTAATGACCTAACATCACCAGTCCTCGCTGGGCAGTTGTGCAGCAGGTGGGCTGACAAATACTGTATGACCTAGAGCAGTGATGGCGAACCTATGACACACGTGTCAGAGGTGACAAGTGAACTCATTTTTTTGGTTGATTTTTCTTTGTTAAATGGCATTTAAATATATAAAATAAATATCAAAAATATAAGTCTTTGTTTTACTATGGTTGCAAATATCAAAAAATTTCTATATGTGACACGGCACCAGAGTTAAGTTAGGGTTTTTCAAAATGCTGACACGCCGAGCTCAAAAGGTTAGCCATCACTGACCTAGAGGGAGGGATTCTCTTTTTTCTAATTAAAGCTAATTTCTGATTATCTTTTTGGCATTAAGAGAAAGGCACTCTGCACATTTTAAATCCAAAGAGTAATTTTAGTTGTAATTTTCACTCTTTCAGAAAACCTCTTATTATATAAATCGCCCAGCCAGCGTGGCTCAGTGGTTAAGCATCTACCTATGAACCAGGAGGTCACGGTTCTATTCCCAGTCAGGGCACATGCCCAGGTTGTGGGCTCGATCCCCAGTGTGGGGTGTGCAGAAGGCAACTGATCAATGATTCTCTCTCATCACTGATGTTTCTCTCTCTCTCTCTCCCTCTTCCTTCCTCTCTGAATAAAAATATATGTTTAAAAAAAGAAATGATGACAAGAAGCAAAGGTAATTTGAGTTTTTCCTCCCTCTTTGCCCTGCCAATCTCTGATGAAAAGATCTAAAGGCCAGCAGGCAGAAAAGACGAGACTGGCTCATCTACAAACTGGGTGAAGGTTTCCAAACAGAAAGCCACATCTACTAAAGTGAAATAATAATATAACACTACTGCCCCGGCCAGTGCGGCTCAGTTGGTTGGAGCATCATCCCATGCACCGGAAGGTCACCAGTTCAATTCCTGGTTAGGGCACATACCTAGGTTGTAAGTTTAATCCCCAGTCAGGGTACGTACAGAAGGCAACCTATCGATGTATCTCTCTTACATCGATGTTTCTCTCTTTTTCTTTCTCCTCTCCTCCCTCTCTAAAATTAAAAAAACAAATTAAAAAAAAAAACAGAAACAAAAAACATTACAATAATAATAATAAAAAAACACTGCTAATGAGGACATTTGGGGTTTTAATGTGAAACATGCCCTCAAACATAAATATTGCTGGGTCACTGTCACAGCACAGGGCCAGCTTCTCAGAGGCCTGGTTTACGTCTCCCATCCACTACTCACAGCCTTCTCGGGCCAGGTAGAGGTTCCGGGTTCCGGTCGGCTTCTTCACCTTCTTTGTCCGAAGCTTTGCAGCCTCATCACGGGTCACTGCCAAGTCAACCTTGAGTTGCCGGCCATCCAATTTCAGCCCGCCACCCTGTAACAGATTGCAACCCTGTCTCTTAAAACACATAACAAGTAAAAACTAAGCAACTGACAAGGAACAGCAAGGAAAGGGAAACAGCAGACGCCAATTAAGCTATGGAACCCAACCCCAATATATTTTGGCCCAGCTAACAGTATTTACTATAGCTGTGCTAAAGGCCATGTGTGTATTTAGGGCAGCCAGGACTAAATAATTTATTTTATGGGAGATGTTTAGGCCCAAACTGAGGAAACTGATCTGTAAATAAGCAAATTTTTAGTAATCTAAAGAAAGCTAATGAAATGGTAGTGTTATCTCTACTCAAGAAAATTTAACAGACAATGGCAATACAATTATACTAACCTTATATAACCCTATAGGGCTGATGTAAGGACTAAATAAGAAAATGCATGTGCCTATCTAATGAGCGTGCCTATGAGACACTAAGTGCCCAATAAATGTAAGCTTGACTATTATTACGTTATTGACAACATAATGATGATGCTTTGCATAAACAGCAGGTGTTGCCCCTAGGAGCCACTATTGCCTGGGTTACAGGGTAAAGGAAATGTCTTCCTTACCTCGGTCTCTGGAGAAGCAGCTGCAAGGCATTTCTGAGCTGCTTCTTGAGTCATGAACTGAGCAAATGCACAACCTGTACAGAGAGACAAAATTCAAGTGAGAATGCTAAACACCCATGGCCCACCAGGAAGCCAAAGACAACACACAAATGGTGGGAGGCTGACACAAGTGGAAGGGTTGGTAGCATCCTTTTGTTAAATACCGCTGAGACAGGCGCTGTCAGGCACTGATAAAATAGCACAACTGCTCGCAACGAAATTTTATTATTTCCTTCATCTTTTCCAATACTCCTAGAACTTTAGTCTTACCATCTCTCTCCTTAGTAACAAATATCCACAAGAAATGCTGGAGAAATTCCAGCCTAACATTCTATTCAGCATCACTTACTGCATGCCTATTAGAAGATTTAAAAAATGAGGCAGCGACCACTTAACCCTGAAATTAATTACAGATCTCACTGTCATCATTGTTACTTGGGAGGCATTAGATATGGGGACACCTGCCTCTTGGAGTAAAAGGCTCAGGCCTCTATCAAATGAATACAGCAGTGAACCAGAAACCCATGAGCTCCATTCTCAACTCACAGTCCAGAATTTCCACAGGTACCCCTCTCACTGGTTAGACGCAGGGCCAATTAGCCCATCCTAATTTTTTGTTATTGACATTAAAAAAACCACAACCTTATTTTAAATATAAGTTTCATAATATTTTGTTAGTATTCCCCACTGAGGGAGTGATGTTTTGTCCCCAATAAAAATAAATGGCATAAGAAAGGGTGAAATAGCACCAGTTGCAACAACATGGATGGACCTTGAGAATATTATGCTAAATGAAATAAGTTAGTCAGAAAAAGCGACATGATTTCACTCATAGATGGAAGAAGGGGGTCCTAATATAAGGTGACAGGAGAAGATTTTACTTTGGGTGGTGGGCACATGGTGCAATATACAGATCTTGTAACATAGAAACCCACACCTGAAACCTATGTGTTCGTGTTGACCATGTCTCCCCAATCAATTTAATAAATAAATTTTTTTTAAAAAAAAGAATGGCAGCAGACTCACTGAGAGAACACATGGGCAGGCCAACCCAAAGGTCACCATCTAGTGAGATCTTTCCTGCCTCCTCCAGGCAGAGCCAAGTGTCCCACCTTGCCGGTCCTTCACTCACATCTCTATTTATAGCCCCATTCAGACGGCATCTTCACAAAAAGACTAGGTGCTTGAGGAATAAGGGCCATGTTTCTTGACTGTTCCCATATCCCTAGCACTACCATAATGCCCAGCATTAATAAATACTCCATATGAAGAAACAAATACAGAAATATGGGGAGGAGCCCTGGCCGGTTTGGCTCAGTGGATGGAGCGTCGGCCTGCGGACTCAAGGGTCCCAGGTTCGATTCCGGTCAAGGGCATGTACCTTGGTTGCGGGCACATCCCCAGTAGGGGGTGTGCAGGAGGCAGCTGATCGATGTTTCTCTCTCATTGATGTTTCTGACTATCTATTCCTCCCCCCTCCTCTCTGTAAAAAATCAATAAAATATATGAGAAAAAAAAATATGAGGAGGAAATGTTTCTAATAGGCAGATTATTCTATTTGTCCAATATGAAAAAAATGGGTATTTCTCTCTGAATGGGTAGGGATTTTATCATTGGAATTTCCAGGGTCAGTATTGAATTCAGTCTTAACACTTCCCTAAAAGTCTGCAGATAATATTCAGCTCTTCCAGGCAGTGAAATGGCTTGCTGACAGGGATAAACTGGAGGAGGAGGCCAAGGCTGTATGAGTGAGCAGGCAGAAAAAGCGCCAGAAAAATTTAATTATGAGCTAGGAAAAGACATGCACTAAGAAAAAATAATGAAAACTATACTTAAGATCATTAACTCTCAACTAAAATTAACAGACCAAGGTAGAAATTGAAGCAAGTCAACTGTAGACTACATTCTGAAAATATCAACCCAATACAGCACACACTCAAAAAGGGACAAAAGACATCACACTAAAGCAATAGCTTACCATACTTGAAACATTCTATGCAATTCCAGTTGCCCATTTTTAAAAAACATACTGGAAATGGAGAAGTATAATTGATATCAGAGCTTAAGGCACCTTAAGTGATTACTCTAGTTGAACACACTAATTTTACAGATAAGAAACGAAAGCCCACAGTGGTTAAATGATTTGCCATAAATCACCCAGCAGGGCTATGGTTTAGCTGGGATTAGATCCCTAATCTCCAGGAAGCACTTCCATTTTCTTTCCATCATAAGGCCTTATGTACATCTTTTTTAGCCAAAACCCAAAAATGCTCCGATCTCATCAGTTTGGAAAATAAGATGATTTAAAAAGTAGGTTAACAATCCATGGATAGGCTCCAGGGAACCCACAAACTCTCAGAAGTGGCCTTTTTCTGAGGAGATGGTTCATAGCTTTTGGTAGAATGCAAAGGAATCAAGAATCAGAATGAATTAAGAATTCACTGCCCATCCAGTGTGGCTGTTATTGAGCATTGACTTATGAACCAGGAGGTCACGGTTCACATGCCCGGTTGCAGGCTCAATCCCCAGTGTGGGGCGTGCAGGAGGAAGCTGATTGATGATTCTCTCTCATCATTGATGTTTCTATCTCTCTCTCCCTCTCCCTTTTTTTCTGAAATCAATAATATCTATCTATCTATATATATTTTTTAAATGCCCTAGCCAGTTTTTCTCAGTGGTTAGAGCACTAGCCCTCGGACCAAAGGGTCATGGGTTCGATTCCAATCAAGGGCATGTCCCTCGTTTGTGGGTTCAATACTCAGCCCTGTTCTGGATGTGTGCAGGAGGCAACCAACCAATCTTTCTCACTCTCTCTCTTTCTTTTCTCCTCCCTCCCTCTCCCTTCCCTTCTACTCTGTCTAAAAATCAATGGAAAAAATCCTCAGGTGAGGATTAAAAAGAAAAAAAAAGAGAGAGCCCTAGCCAGAAAGAGCCCTGGCCCATGGAATGAAGGGTCCAGGGTTCCAATCTAGTCAATGACATGTACCTTGGTTGCAGGCCCTGGTTGGGGCATGTGCAGGAGGCAACCAATCCATGTATCTCTCATATCGATGTTTCTCTCTCTCTGTCTCTCCCCCTCTCTTTAAGAATCAATGGAGCCCTAGCCGGTTTGACTCAGTGGACAGAGTGTTGGCCTGTGGACTGAAGGGTCCCAGGTTCGATTCTGGCCAAGGGCACATGCCCGGGTTGCAGGCTCAATCCCCAGTGTGGGGCAGCAGAAGGCAGCCAATCAATGATTCTCTCTCATCATTGATGTTTCTCTCTCTCTCTCTCCCTTTCTCTATGAAATCAATAAAAATATATTTTAAAAAATCAATGCAAAAATATCCTTGGGTGAGGAGTAACAACAAAAAACCACATAAAAAAAGAATTGCTTTAGGAGAATGACTGCAATTGATGAAATCAAAAATTATGAAAAGTAATATACTGAAATGAGGAATGGTCAACCCTGGAAACTCAAATAAATAGCTTTAGGAAAAAAAATCTATGGCAGAACCCTTCTTACATAGTTTTCTTTCTTTCTGTTACCACTGCGACAAAGTTTCTATCATCTTCCATCTCTAAGAAACGCAACTAAAAAGATCCCAGTAATGTCAAGCAATGTGGAATAATTAATACCCATGAGATGTTATCACATTTGAAATTCAAAGAACAACAAATGGAATTCATTACCCTAAAGTAAATAAGGGCTTAAAAAGCTTAGACAAAATTATGGCTGGCAGGTGCATGAAATATGCTGCATGAATTTGACCTCATAGAGGACAACCTCAGAATGTCTTTGGTGCTTCTATGGACCACAGAAACTTGGGCTGAATGTGAACCCCTCAGTGCCCACGGCAGTAGTTTCACTCTTCTAGGGCCTGACCAGCTGACAACAAATACCTTTAGAATGCTCTGTGTCTGGATGTAAGACAATGCAGACATATTTAAGATCTCCAAATTGCTGGAGGAGCTCCCCAAGTTCTTCTTCCTCTGAGTCAAAGGACAGGTTTCTATGGAAGACAATTAGATCACAAGAAAGATCAATTACAAAAGATCCCATGTTCTGGTTACAAAATGAGTGAGTTAGACACCAACTGGAGTGGTTCCCTTGCTCAAGACCACTCTGCCTTGTTCAGGAATAGCACCAATAGGGGAGACCTCCAATGGCCAGGTTTCTGATATGTGACTCTGCCCCTTGACCTTCCTCTGTCAATCAGATTCTCTCTCCAGGAATTTAAAACTTGAACAGAGTTATACAAAGACCAGAAGTTGTAGATGCAGATTCACTTCAAAACAGCAGTGTCCCACCCAAAGGAAACTTATGTCTTGATCTGGGTGGTGGTTACATGGATACATGTATACATTCATATATGTAAATATACATATGTAAATATATATGAGCATATACATGTTTTGCCAAACCTTGTATATAAATATGAAAAATTTCACTGAGTTGTACATTTACATTAATACATCCTACAGAATTTGTTACACCTTAAGAAGTTAAAAAAATAGCCCTAGCCAGTTTGGCTCAGTGGATAGAGTGTCGGCCTGTGGACTGAAAGATCCTGGGTTCAATTCCTGGTCAGGGCACATACCTGGGTTGCGGACTCAATCCCCAGTAGGGGTTGTGCAGGAGGCAGCCAATCAATGACTCTCTCTCATCATTGATGTTTCTCTCTCTCTCTCCCTCTCCCTTCCTCTCTGAAATCAGTAAAAATATATTTTTTAAAAAAAGAAGTTAAAGAAATAGTGGGGCGTCCTCAGAGAAAAGACCCACCGCCACCTGCAGCAGACGTCCCAGAACTGTCCAGAGTTTCATCCCATTCTTAAGGTTTGCTCTTTGACAACTACCATTCTGTGAGCCAACCTAACATTTATCCAACAAACCTGCTTTTTCAATAAACTGGCCAAAATTACTTTCCCTGATTACAAACAAAACACTCAAATGTGTGTCTCTCTCTCTCTGATTAGCCATTTTCTTCTCTGTGTTGCTGTGAAATCTTGGTTTCAGTTAAAATTTTATAGAAGTCAGAAAATCCTTTAAGTGAAGAGATTAGAGAGTACAAATTGGTAGTTACAAAACAGTCATGGGGATGTAAAGTACAGCATAGGGATAACAGTCAATAATATTGTAAGCCCTAACCAGTTTGGCTCAGTGGATGGAGCGTCGGCCTGCAGACTGAAGGGTCCCAGGTTCGATTCCAGTCAAGGGCACATGCCCAGGTTGCGGGCTCAATCCCCAGTAGAGGGCATGCAGGAGGCAGCCAATCAATGATTCTCTCTCATTATTGATGTTTCTATCGCTCTCTCCCTTTCCCTTCCTCTCTGAAATCAATAAAAACATATTTTTTAAAAGTAAATAAATAAATATAAATAATATTGTAATAACTATTTATGGTGCCAGGTGGGTACTACATTTATCCGGAGGATAACTTTGTAAATTACATAATTGTCTAATCACTATGCTGTACACCTGAAACTACTTGTAATATAAAATATTGAATGTCAACTGTTAAAAAATAAAAAAAGAATTAAGAAATTTTTTATAAAAAAGAAAATCCTTCCAAATAACTCAAAAACAAACATGGTAAAGTTTTGTGTCTAAGTGCAAAAAACAAAACTACGTATTTCTCTCCATGGGATTAAAAAATGTTGGAAGGAGATTTTGTTCTACTAAATTTCAACACAGTGTAGAGTCCTCATTTCCCCAGCTATGCACAACCTTCCAGGGGTAAGAAAAAGTCCCAAATAAAAATCTACAATTTTGACCCTGGCTGGTGTGGCTCAGATGGTTGAGCATCATCTTATGCACTGCGATGGTTTGGTTTCCAGTTAGATTCCTGGTCAGGGCACATGCACTGGTTTTGGGCTCAATCCCCAGTAGGTGGCATGCAGGAGGCAGCTGATCAATGTTTCACTCTCACATCAATGTTTCTCTCTCTCCCTTCCTCTCTCTCTAAAAGAGCAATAAAAAAAATATTTAAAATAAATAAATATCTACAGTTTTACTTCTCTTAAACTCAGTTAACCCCATAAATGATTCTATCTTATGGAGTAACTGAGGTAAAAAAAAAAAAATGTTTGGGCCCAGCAGTATGGTACAGTGGTTGAGCATCAACCCATGAACCAGATCACAGTTCCATTCCCAATCAAGGCACATGCCCGGGTTTTGGGCTCAATCCTCAGTAGGGGGCGTGCAGGAGGCAGCCAATCAATGATTCTCACTCATCATTGATGTTTCTATCCCTCTCCCTTCCTCTCTCTGAAATCAATCAAAATAAATAAATGTATAAAAAACCAAAAAAAGTTCTGCAATAAGACACATCCTAGCTACATTACTTCTTCTAATATGCCTCATCGTGTACATAGTTTTCTTTCTTTCATCCCTTTACCTTCCTAAGTTCTTTGTTAATTTAAATGATGTATAAACGGTATACTTGGTATTGAGATCACAGGCTTCTAAGCGTGATGTTTCTTCCTTCCTGTTAAAATCCTCTGAGAGTACAAAATTATTTATATGGCAATTCCATATAACACAGTAAAAAGAAGTTATGGAGAGATATGCTGTAAAGAAAAAATGGGTTATAGCACAGCATGCATAGGCTAAACTCATCTTTGTAAATATTTATGATGATGTGGGCATGTGTGTGGGTGTTCTCTGAGTAGTGATTAAGGTTAATGTTTTTGTGTCTTTTTGCACATTTATTTCCTAAATTTCCTACACTAAACATAAATTACTTATATAATAAAAACAATCTCAGAAGATTGTGCAAGAGGATAAAATACACATCTACCTGGTATATATATATAAAACCCTAATATGCAAATAGACCGAACTGCAGAACAACCGAACAACCGTGCACTGACCACCAGGGGGCACACACAGAACATGGCGGGCGTTGGCAGCAGTGGGATGGTGGAGCAGGTGAGGGGGGGCACCAGACCTAGGCAGGATGCTGGTCACTGTCATCAGGGCGAGCCTCTGGTGGTTACTGAAAATTCTTTGCTCCCGCACGCCACGGTCCCACCAAGCGCTTACACCCGCTGCCGGCACCAGCCCCGCTTGCACCCGCTGTTGCTGCCTGAGCCGCCGCTCGCACCTGCTGCTGGCGCCCAGCGCTGGTCCTGATCACTCAACGCCGTCAGTGGGTACGAGCAGTGGCTGCCGGCCCCAATTGCCCCTCAGGGCTTTCTCCACTGCCCCCTGCTCCTGAAGGGCGATTGGGGCAGCAGCTGCCACTCGCACCTGCTGACGGCACCAGCACCGTCAGCTTGTGGGAGCAGCGGTGGTGGGAGTGAGGTCGCGGCAGGAGGGGCCGGGGAAGGGGGGAGCACGGAGGATGGGCTGAGACCCGCCCCTGTGCCCACCACAGCCTCGCGGCCCACAGTTCCTTTCAAGGTGCACGAATTCATGCACTGGGCCCCTAGTCTCTCAAATAAGATTCAAATGGCCCCGCACATTGGTGCTTAAGAAAGAACAAGAAAGCATATTAGAGGTGTGCTAAAGATATCCCAACCTTCTGAAAATGCCAATCTATTGCAGTCAGGACTAAAATAGCAATGGGAACATGAAATAAAACCCATCTCCACCCAACTCTCTCCCTCAGTTTCCCTAGAAACAGATGGGATGCCTTACTTTATTACGGACACTACTTTAGAAGTTAGGCATGAAGAAAGAAATTGTTTGAGATAAGTGGTGTCACCCCTCTCTAACACTCCCTTTAAAAGAAAGGCCAGCAGTGCCCGGCTGGTGTGGCTCACTGTTTGAGCACTGACCTATGAACAAGGAGGTCATAGTTTGGTTCCCAGTTTGGGTACATGCCCAGGTCTTGGGCTCGATCCCCAGTAGGGGGCATGCAGAAGGCAGCCAATCAATGATTCTCTCTCATCATTGATGTTTCTATTTCTCTCTCCCTCTCCCTTCCTCTGTGAAATCAATAAAAATGTATTAAAAAACAAAAAAACTAAAACGAAGGCCAGCAAGTAGGATATCTCTCATAGTTGAAGAATTGATTTGTTCCAAATGATGCCACCCCAATTACAAAGAATGAAATCTAAATAAGGCCCTAGCTGGTTTGGCTCGGTGGATAGAGTGTCAACCTGCAGACTGGAGGGTCACAGGTTCGAGTCCGGTCAAGGGTATATGCCTGGGTTGCTGGCTCGATCCCTAGTGGGGGGCATGCAGGAGGCAGCCAATCAATGATTCTCTCTCATCATTGGTGTTTTTTCTATCTCTCTCTCCCTCCCTTTCTGAAATCAATGGGAAAAAAAATGTCTAAAAATAAAAAAATAACTAAGGACAACATATGATAACCTCTGCATAAATACTTCTGTATATGGTTCTGATTCTATGTTTCTCATTGTTTGCTATGCTCCTAGAGCCAGATGTGCTAATGGTCTTAGAGGCATCAAACTTCTGGTCTACTTAATAGAACTAGTACAAAAAAGTAAAGAGGAAAAAAAGGAGAAGAGAAAAGAAAGGGAGGGAGAGAGGGAGGTAAGAGAAACCTATGACAGCAACACAAATAGAGCAGTTCTTAAAAGTAAAAAGGCATACCTTATGAAAACAGTTTTCCCTTCATTCACATCAGAGGGTAATTTCCTTTTCTTTTTCTTTGAGCCTTGTACATCTAAAGTAAACAAACAAACAAACAAACAAAAAACAATCTGAAAAATACTGGTGTAAGCCATACAACAAAGGGCTAACTTCTTAAATATATAAAGATATTGCATAAATCAATAAGGAAAAAATCAATTTAAAATGAACAAAGGATATGCAAATATATACATGAAAAGTTTGTCAAGCTCACTCATAATTAAAGAAAAACAGCACAAGAAATTAGATACAATTTTTTACCAACAGATTGGCAAAAACCGAAAAGATAGATAAAATCCAATGTAGTAAGGATATGGGGAAAAAATAGAGTCCCATAAGCTACTGTGAAAATGTAAACGTTTTAGAAATATAAAACATAGAACACTTAAAAAAATAACACATATTCACACATATAATGTACACTATATTGTATATGTGTATGTTTTTACCCATAAAGGTATTAATTACCTTTAGCTACACCAGAAACATATAACATTGGTTGTCTCTGGGGAAGGGTCCTATGTGGCTGAGAATCTGGGTATAAGGGAGACTCACTGTTTGTTTCTAAGAATAGATATACATGCTTATATATGCACACAAAATTTCTGGAAAGATACAAAAGAAACAACAGTGATTACTTTGGGGGACCTTGAGGGATTGGTGAGGAACTCTTACTTTCTATGCAATACTCTTCTGCAGTATATTTCTTATTAATGTTCTCTCATTATTATGTATTAGTCCCATAATTTTTTCAAGTGAAAGAAAGGTAATAGACAGTTGAATCTGGTTGTAGAATGCAAGGTCTCATAGTCCCTTTAGTATAAAAGTTTCTTTGATTCTAAGGTATCGACCATTCTCTCCTCATGAAAAAAGCTTTTTCCTTCAGATTTCTTATATGGTCCAACCGGCATGCCAGCCTTACAGAAAAGGAAGCAGAAGGGAGCGACCTGATAAGTAAACAAAAACCTCCATCCAGACAAATTAAAGGACCAGTTATTGGCCACTCCTCATTCTGTAATGACCTACTTCCCTCAATAAATGCTTTGAGTTTACCCAACATTCCTGATAAACATAGCAACAGCATTTGGTTACAGTTTTACAAAATGCCCCAAGAAATCCTTTATCCCCCTCTCAACTCAAAAGAGTTGTTTAAAATCCACCGTGGTCTTAGATGCAATATCCTGTTTATCCAATTTTCATTCGGGGCTGGATAATTAGAAAGATAATCAAGAGAGAGAGGTAGTGCCTCAGAATTAAGCTACATTTTAAATTCCCTAGGAATCTTAACCCTCAAACACCACTCCAAACTTATTTAAAAAACAAAACCAAAATAATGCAAAGTTTTCATCTTCAGCGTTTTAACATAAATTTGACAAAACACCTTAGGGTCCTATTTAAAGAGGCCTGCACTGCACTGATGCACATTTCTCAGTAGTAATTTAAATTTGAAAATCCCAGGCAAACCTTCATCCTCCTGCTCTTCCGTGTGGGTGTCACTCTGAGCGAGGTCCTCTCCACTATCAACACTATCACCGTCCTCCAGGCCGCTGTCCTCATCGGAATGGTCCTCTTCACTGCTTTCTGAGGGCACTGGTCTCTTGACTGCTCTGCAATGGCACAGTTTAGAACTAAGGACCTGGGCGGACAGAGGGGGCTATCCAACTCTATTACACATGTCAATTCCACAATGATGGGGACAGGAAAAGCCCGTTTTTCCCCCCCAGAGACCATCCTGAATTTTCCACTGTTGTCTCAGAACAAGCTAAGTGGCTTACCTCTTGTGAATTTGCACACGCTTGGTCACCTTTGATTCTTTATTCTTCTCCTCCTCTTCATCATCACCATCATCACCATCTTCATCATCATCCCCTTCCATATCACCATCATCACCATCATCACCATCTTCATCATCATCCTCTTCCATATCACCATCATCATCCTCTTCCTCTCTCATAACCTCTTCTTTCCTGCCATTCACTTTATCTAATTTCTGATGTTTAGGTTCAGGTTGCTTCTCCTCACCTACACAAGGAAGTAAAGAAAGTTAGAAATTAATTCAGTATCTAAAATAAGGTTATTTTAAGAGTCAATAATACCATCAAGTTCCTAGTTCCTTTAGTTTTACAGAATCTCATGTATTTTTCTTATTGTATGAAGTATGAAGAAAAAAAAAAAGCTCATCACTGAGATTCCCTTGGAGGCTGTCACATTCATTCATCAAAAGCCTGAAGGTTACCTGGCTCGGAATGAGAGAAGCAGCAACTGAGCCTTCACAAACAGCCCACCATCCTGCACCACAGCCAGCACAAGGCATGGTTCAGTCCAACCATGAACTTTAATCTCGGCGAGCTTTGGGTAGCCTGAAAGCCAATTGTTTTCTAAGTAAAACACAAGTTTTAACTTTCCCTATGCTTACTTACAGCAATGTTCCATCATTTCTTACTATGAAAAGCTGAGAAAGGACAGCAAGTAGAGGGAACAATGAACTCAGACCCACTCCTCACTCCACACCCAGGAGTGGGCTTAGACTCAAAAGATCCTATGTTTTGGACCCCAGCTGGTTTGGCTCAGTGGATAGAGCGTTGGCCTTCAGGCTGAAGGGTAGAGGGTTCGATTCCAGTAAAGACATGTACCTTGGCCCTAACCGGTTTGGCTCAATGGATAGAGCGTCAGCCTGCGGACTCAAGGGTACCAGGTTCGATTCCAGTCAAGGGCATGTACCTTGGTTGCAGACACATACCCAGTAGGGAGTGTGCAGGAGGCAGCTGATCGATGTTTCTCTCTCATCGATGTTTCTAACTCTCTATTCCTCTCCCTTCCTCTCTGTAAGAAATCAATAAAAAAAAAACATATTTTTTAAAAAAAAGACATGTACCTTGGTTGCGGGCTCGATCCTCAACAACATATTTTTAAAAAAAAAGACATGTACCTTGGTTGCGGGCTCGATCCTCGCACTAGTCCCTGTGGGAGGCAACCAATTGATGTGAGAGACACTTCGATGTTTCTCTCTGTGTGTGTTTCTCCCCCTCCCACTCTCTAAAAATCAATGGAAAAATATCCTCGGGTAAAGATTAACAAACAAAAAAAGATCCTATGTTTTGGGACCAGGTCACCAGACGGGACAATATGAATTGACAAACAGCTCTGGGTTTCTGAGCCAGAAGGTATTCAGAGTTTTTCTTACTACTCAGTCTCATTTTGGGGGCAATCCTGTGCTTTTGGTATCTTCAGCCCAATATTCTCACTGACAAGCAGGTTCCCGTATACATACTTTTATTGTAGAGTTGCTTCCACACTCACCCCAAAACATACAACCCCTCCTAAGCAGCATCACCACATCTTACCTGGGGCAGAGGCAGACTGTGTATTTTTATATTTATCCTTTGCCACAGCCCAATCCACAGCTACTATCCGACCTGTCAGACAGAAAAGTAACATCTTTTTAACACTTCTATCTCCTATAAATGGCTTCTTATTCATCAAAGAATAGTGGTCCTAAAATAAAACTCCTAATAACTGTCTATTCTTTTTCAACCTTAACTTTTCTTTTATCAATGAACATTAATTCTGCCTTCCTACACAGCCACCACACCTGGGATAAGATATAATTTAAAAAAATAATTAGAACATTGCTTCCAGTTAGACCAACAAGTTTCCAGTTAGCAAGAAGCAAAACAGCCCTGGCCAGTTTGGCTCAGTGGATAGAGCATTGGTCTGAAGGGTCCCGGGTTCGATTCCGGTCAAGGGCACATGCCCAGGTTGCGGGCTCAATCCCCAGAAGGGGGTGTGCAGGAGGTAACCAATCAATGATCCTCTCTCATCACTGATGTTTCTATCTCTCCCTCTCCCTTCCTCTCTGAAATCAATAAAAATATTTTTTTTTTAAATAAAAAAAGAAGAAAAACAGGCATTTTAGAATAATTTGCACCATACTCAGAAGGCAGGAAATCTCTAAGCCAATCCTTCTTTACTACCTGGTAAATCAATACCCATAGTAGCCTCATGGTCAATTTACTAGCCCACGGATGCTGAATAATGCTTATAACCAAGAGGGAAAAAACTACAAATCTCATAACCCCTAGACAACGACCTACATCCATCAGTGATTATTTCAGGGACATCTTTTTATTTAAAAGAACACTCATTACCAAATAAAAAAGAGAATAATGACATAGGTTCTTTTGAGTTTAACCTAAGGTCAAATGTTAGGAAAATTTCACCAAAATAGCTTCTATATTAGCAGTGAGACTCTCAACAATGCAAATACCTTTTGAAGATGTAGCAAGTGGGTTACTATGCTAATTCACCCAAACACCAGAAATATCTAGGTCAATGGTATGGGTACAGAAAACTTACCCTTTATCTCTTTCATGTTCATGCTTTTAAGAGCTTTTCCTGCTTCTAGGAGGTTTTTGAACTGAACAAAAGCAAAACCACGCATCTTTCCATCTGTGTGCAAATGTACAAAAATGTTAGAAGCAGCAGGTGGAAAGCCAACAAACCCAAGAATATATAGCTAAAATGTATAGCTCAAATCCTGCCAACCAGCCAGCCCCTTGCCCAAAACTTATGTCCTCCTATTGAGTATACCCTGACTTGGGCTTGGAGCAATGCATTTTCTCAAACTGTAACTTGTCTTCTAAAACTAATTTTGGTCTAACTAAAACTAGTTCTGATCTACTAAAAATCTAACTAGTTCAGGGGATACCTAAACTAAAAATACCTAACTTAAATACTCATGTAAAGCACTATTACATAAGTTTTTATTACTGTGCCTAATACTTCATACATATCACATTATCTAGGGCTCACAAAGAATATGACATGAACCTTGCATTTCTAGTTCTAATGGTGCTTAATTCAAGGGTAATATAGAAAAAGGCCATTATGCTAAATGATATTAATCTAATCCATACCAAAGAAGGTTTGCTACTACCTGGCTTCCTAGGGATGTTAACTTCTAGGACGGCTCCATATTGAGCAAATATGGTCTTCAAGTCATCTTCTGAACACTAAAGACAAAAGTAAAGAAAGAAAAAGAGAGATTATCTCAGCAAGTAAACATGAAACATTAATTACTAGATTAGTTCATTAGGACGAACTTGAATATTTTTACTCCTTTTTTACTTTTGAAACTAGGACAAACATTTCTAAATAGAAGACATCTTGCTCTGTATCTAGGAAGCAAAAAGGATAAATATCAGAGAGCTTTTCCTCCCCACCCTTTCTCAGGAAGCATCTTCCCTTATTGTCTTAAGTCCTTGTTTATACAGGCCCATTTTCTGAATTCAACAAGGCTAAGGTTCATTCCCAATTTACCATTGGGTGAGGAGTTCCACCCGTGACCAACAGCTTTCAGAATAGGCAGTGTTAGTGTTCTCTGTCACTCACCTTAAAGCTCAGATTCCGAATAATTAATCTGGCTTTCTTATCTGCCACTTTGGCCTTTTTAGGCTTCTGCTCCTTCTTTGGGGACTCTGAATTTTCTAAAAACAATAAGAGGGAATGGAATAAGTGTGCTGCAAAACCATCCATCTTGAGGCCCAGGACAGCAAAGGAAAAAAGCTACTAGCAACAGATGGCATTTACCACGGGGGCTGGTATGACAACACCCAAGACCATAGATTTCCCAGACTTAGAAGTTAACAAAATACATTGGATAATTTTGGATATAAAAACTAAATTCAGGAAGCTCTAAATTTAAGAGATTCCCGCACCCTCATCCTGCCATTCCACTTCCTCTTCACCCTGGAAGAAAACGCCCTTCAGTTACTAGAAACTCACCATTTCCCCCCTTTTCCTTGGACTTGTTCTTCAGTTTTTTCTTGGCAACACTCACGTTGATCTTGCAGCCTTCAAAAGTGGTAATCTCCTTGAGGGCCCTCTGAACATCTTCCCGCATAGAAAAAGTGACATAGCCGAAGCCTCGACATGCCTTACTCCCTGAACAGTGAGGAGGAGAGATCATCATCAGTCAAGAGCCCTAAACCAGCCACCTAGAGAGACAGACAGATGACTTAGAAGGGAACTAAACTAAATGTATGTTCTGGGTAACATCAGGTGCCTGTCTTGAGTATCCCTAAAGTCTAGGTAAGAGGAAGGAATGCTTCTACAATTAAAACCCTTGCAATTCACCCTCATTCTAATATATGCCACCCCTCCCTCACAGTGATGTGATGAGCATCAGACAGAATGTGAAGCATACAGCAGTACTCCACAAGTCAGTAAATGTGTCCAGTGGCTCAAGCCAAAACCCTTGGACTCAGACTTTGACCCCTCTTTTTCTCATACCCCACATCTGATCCATCAGCAAATCCTCTCAGCTTTACCTTAAAAAATATCCATATTCTGCCTTAGCCAGTTTGGCTCAGCAGATAGAGCATCAACCTGAGGACTGAAGGGTCCCGGGTTTGATTCCAGTCAAAGTCACATGCTGGGTTGTGGGCTCCATCCCCGGGGGGGAGGAGGGGTCGTGCAGGAGGCAGCCAACCAATGATTCTCTTTTATCATTGATGTTTCTATCTCTCTCTCACTCTCCCTTCCTCTGGAATCAATAAAAATATATTTTAAAAAAAGAAAGACTCCCCTTGCGTGTACCCGGTGCTTCCAAGAGGAGTTCAGCCTGGTCCACCCCGTAGTCCCGACTCCAGCTGCCGTGTGCCCTTGGGCACAGGACCTCAGTGTCACTTTCTCCCCCAGCTGACAACATGGGTGGGCACGAGGTGGGCAGAGGCTCTGACTGTGCTCTTGTGGTCCAGGCGTCTGTGCCCTTTAAGAGCAAGGCTGTGTCCGGCCCGTCCATGATGTGATTCAGATCATAGGTGGGCAGGACCCAGCCTGTGCCTAATTCACGGGGGCTGCTGTACGGGTGAGCCCCCGGCCCCCCTCGCCGAGGCCCGGCTCCAGTGCACTGCTGGGCACACGCTGAAGCATTAATACATATTTATGGTTTGAAAAAGCCTGTGGTAGACTTTCTTCCTTTGACCTTTGGATTCATTTTCCTCTTGAAATAGCCGAAGAAGGCCCCTAGTGCCATGGCGACGGTCTCTATAGAAATCCATAGCTCGCTCTCAGCACACCCACGATGCCAGTGGGAGGCTGGCACAGATTCGGACCAATCGAGAGAAGGCATGGTTCGCCTTGTCCTGGTTACAAAGAACATGTTTTGTTCTCTCGAATGGGCCTCCCTGTCCCCGATTCAGCATCACCTCGCTCTCTCCTAATGTGGGTTAATTTCCCACCAGCTCCTAGAAAGAGTGTATTTCCAGTCCCTCCTGGGACAGGCAGGGGTTTCAAGCAGGATGAAGCCGGTTTCGGTGGAGGGTATCTGGGGCCTGCCTAGGAGTCGGGCCTCTCCGATCACGTTTCTGCCGGGAGAGGGTGGGGGATGGGCTCGCTTGGAACAGGTGATCCTTTCGGAAGCTGTAATCCGAGGTTAGAAATAGACTTGCGTCGCTACCAGAAATCCCTGCCGCGTTGGCCTTTGCTTTGTCGGGCTCGCCCTGGTAAAGGTTGGGAATGTACTGGTTTAAGAATGGAGGTCCTTATACTGAAATCAAGGAGGGGCCCTGTCCCTGTTCCTTTAAGAATATTCTCCATATTCCAATCACTTTTTACCACCCATGGCTATCATCCTCGTCCAACACCATGGTCTCTCGCCTGGATTGTTGCAAGAGGTCTCCCTACTTCTGTTCTATTCTCCAACAGCTACTCTCAACACAACAGCCTGACAGAATCTTTCAAAATGTAAGCCAGATCATACTGCTCCCTGCTCAAAACCAGTAGTTTCCCATCTCAGGGAGAAGCCAAAGTCCTTGCCATGGCCTATGAGCTTCTACATAATCTGGGAACCCAGATTTCCTCTCCTAATTCCTTCCTTTCACTCCACTCCAGTCACCCAGGGCTCCATGCTATTCCTCCAATACACCAGGCACAGTCCTCCTCAGTGTCCCTGAGCTTGAAGTTTCCTCTGCCTAGACTGCTCCTCTCCCTTGACAGACACCTTCACTCTCCCCTCCAGGCCTTCCCTGGCTACTCGATCACCTGGATTGTTGTAAGAGGTCTCCCTACTTCTGTTCTCCAACAGCTACTCTCAACACAACAGCCTGACAGAATCTTTCAAAATGTAAGCCAGATGATACTTACTGCTCCCTGCTCAAAACCAGTAGTTTCCCATCTCAGGGAGAAGCCAAAGTCCTTGCCATGGCCTATGAGCTTCTACATAATCTGGGAACCCAGATTTCCTCTCCTAATTCCTTCCTTTCACTCCACTCCAGTCACCCAGGGCTCCATGCTATTCCTCCAATACACCAGGCACAGTCCTCCTCAGTGTCCCTGAGCTTGAAGTTTCCTCTGCCTAGACTGCTCCTCTCCCTTGACAGACACCTTCACTCTCCCCTCCAGGCCTTCCCTGGCTACTCGATCTGTAACCAGCACTACTCTACGCCCCTTACACATCCACACACACACACACCCACCCACACACTCCCTAACCTACTTCCCGGAGTTATTTTTCTCCTTAATATTTACCACCATTATCCTATATAATAAAAGGCTAATATGCAAATTGACTGAATGGCAGAACAACCAGTTGCTATGACATACACTGACCACCAGGGGGCAGATGCCCAACACTCAGCCAGAAGCCCAGCTCACGGCTGGCAAGCACAACTGTGTTGGCGGGAGCCACTCCTGCCTCCATGGCAAAGCTAAGGCTGTCCGACTGCCAGCCTACAGGCCTAAGCCATCAGTCGGACATTCCCTGAGGGCTCCTGGACTGCAAGAGGGCCCAGGCTTGGCTGAGGGATCCCACTAAGTGCATGAATTTCATGCACTGGGCCTCTAGTCACTATATATTTTGCTTATTTGTTTGTTGGCTGTCTTCCCATCTTGAAGGCTGTGTGCACTGACATATCCCCCAATAAATATGAAATGAGTAACATGACGGTTGAGGGGGAGGGGGAGTCTGGTGATGAAATTCTGGGTCCACTACTCACCAGCTGTACAAACTTAAGCTGAAGTTACCAACTCCCAGTCTAGGCCCTAGATGCCTCGTCAATAACATGGGGTTAAGAGTCTCCACCGAATAAGCCCCTTACACATCCACACACACACCCACACACTCCCTATCCTACTTCCCGGAGTTATTTTTCTCCTTAATATTTACCACCATTATCCTATATAATAAAAGGCTAATATGCAAATTGACTGAATGGCAGAACAACCAGTTGCTATGACATACACTGACCACCAGGGGGCAGATGCCCAACACTCAGCCAGAAGCCCAGCTCACGGCTGGCAAGCACAACTGTGTTGGCGGGAGCCACTCCTGCCTCCATGGCAAAGCTAAGGCTGTCCGACTGCCAGCCTACAGGCCTAAGCCATCAGTCGGACATTCCCTGAGGGCTCCTGGACTGCAAGAGGGCCCAGGCTTGGCTGAGGGATCCCACTAAGTGCATGAATTTCATGCACTGGGCCTCTAGTCACTATATATTTTGCTTATTTGTTTGTTGGCTGTCTTCCCATCTTGAAGGCTGTGTGCACTGACATATCCCCCAATAAATATGAAATGAGTAACATGACGGTTGAGGGGGAGGGGGAGTCTGGTGATGAAATTCTGGGTCCACTACTCACCAGCTGTACAAACTTAAGCTGAAGTTACCAACTCCCAGTCTAGGCCCTAGATGCCTCGTCAATAACATGGGGTTAAGAGTCTCCACCGAATAAGAATGCTGAGAACATTAAATGAGGTAACCGGTGTGCAACTCAGCACCGTACCTGGCGATGGCTGACTCTCAATAAGCCTTAGCGATGCTTTCTTGGAAGGTCGCTATCGGCACCGGCACCCAATGAGATATGGTACATGAGCGGGCCTCCTAACCGGAAAGCGCTACCTGAACTTCGGGGAATGCTTTGACTGTCAGAAACAGAGTCCTAGGGACTCATTAGAACAGAGTCCGTTTGAAAAAGAAACTCAATCCCCAGACCCTTCTCTTGGGGTGGGCAGAGAGCGCGGGCGCGCTGGAGTTTGGGAGGGGTCCTCCCCGCCTCCCCGCTCCCAGGAACCCGGGCCCCCGCCCGGACGCCCCGCCCCCTCACCTTTCTCCGTCACCACGAAGCACTGCTTCACCGGCCCCACCTGACTGAACAGCTCCTCCAGCTGCTCGCTGCGGGCCGAGGGCGGGAGGCGGCTCACAAACAGG